TATATAATCAGGCCAAGAACGTTTGCACGAAATTCCTGTTCCTGTCTCTACTTAGTTCGACTGCCAACAAAAATACGTCAGTTTTAATGACCCATTGACCCACAATAGAAATTCTTTTCCGCATGCCTATGATAAAAACGATGTCAAGATGACTCAACCCAAATTCGAAGAGTATGGTCAAAAATTGTACATTTTGCACTTAGCTGCGCACTTCAACGATGATCAAGTACTCCGCCACCAAGCCGTACACCACCACCACCCTGAAATAATTAACCTAATCACTATTATTACCCTCTAAATATCCATAAATTTCCATATTTTCAACCACCACAGTTGGTAAACCATAACAGTTCTGGCACCCCCGTGTTCCCTCCTAAGGTGGTGGTGGGGGGAGAGGCTCTAGCTATAGTTGGGCTGTAGGTGGAGGAGCGGCAGTGGTAAAGGGAGAAGCTGATCGGGTGGCCTTAGGGGATGATGGGGGAGAGACTCTCGCTATAGTTGGGCTGTGGGTGGAGGAGAGGCGGTGGTGGGGGGAGAGGCTGACCAGGCGGTGCACCGCAGTGGGAGGCGAGAGGCTCGAGCATAATCGGTATAGGAGAGGTAGTAGGGGCGGTGGGTAATGAGGACTACTCGGGTGGTAACGTCAGAGGAAGGGGGGCTTCCGGATGCTGTGACGTCGGATGGTACTGACGGCTCGCTTCCTTTCCGACCACAAATCAAGCTCCGACGTCATCAGGATGGGTCCAAAAGGTGTAGGTGACAAGCCCAACGTACAGCGCAAGAGGAAGATGATCAAGCATGAATGTGTATGTCTTATCAGTGGATATTTTTTTTTATTTTCTTCTTCCACTCATTGTTTTAGGAGTCTCAGCGTAATCGTTGTTTTTTTTGTTCTTCTTAAGAGCGGGTGCATCGAGTTGTTGGAGAGAAAATTTCATTGGGAACAGCGGATCGCGTATCCCGTTTAACTGCGACTAACGTTGGCTTACTCGACACAGTACCTTGCCAAGTAATAGAGCTATTATGTCTTATCCACACGGATGTGCTAGCCGTGGCCGATGACCTTTCGCTTCTTATTTAGGCGTTTAATGTACCAGTGTAATATTTTTTTCTTAGCAAGAGTGGGCGCAACAAGTCATGCTAGGATACACGTATGTGTAAGCCGTGGCCGATAACTCTTCGCTTCTTATTTAGGTGTATAATGTGCCAGCGTCATATTTTTTTCTCTTGAAAGCGGGCGTATCGAGTGATGCGAGTTGCCACAGAGAACATGTTTACCATTTCATAACCGAAAGCGTATCCCAACATTGCTTGGCTTACTCTTCTTCACCGCAGTACCTCGCCAAAGAATAGAGTAAGTTAATACGATAAAGTAATTTTTATCGGCGCAGTAATAAGGAGGCGTGAATGAAAAAAATCGACATAGATTCATGAAGAACTAATTTATTGCATAAGTATTGTGTTTCAGGTGTACATTAAGTAAAAAACATCGTTTTTTCGTTGCTGCTCTCTTAAAATCCATTTTTTTAAAGCCGTAACATTCTTCACAGCACAATAAGCTGAATTAAATTGTTGATGAATGCATTCGACATCATCAATACTAATTTTTTTTTAAAGCTGGACATTGCCTAATATCATAAATGTACCTATAAAAATAATTATATTATGCAAATATTTATTAAAGCGTACAAATCATACTATGAGTAATGTAAGTATTAAATATCACACGGCGCATTTTCTTTAATAATGGCTCGAAAGGTTGTAGCTAGATCCTTGTAGGGAACTTCTCCCAAGCTCCAACGAAGACCGTGGTAATTAAACTCCTGCCATTGATTTTCACATTTGTTCTTAGGTAAGAGCTGTGCCCAAGAATATGGGGGCTTGAAGACAAAAACTGATGGTGTAGCATTTTCTTGTAGAGGTATAATAGCGACTTCTTCAAAAATAAATTCGTTGTGCATGTTTTTTAAAAAGCCGGGAGGCATAAAAAACCCAATTTATTAATAAACTAAAAATTAACACAACCTGAATTGAATGCAACAGAACTAAATTAAATATTACAACGTTAAAATGATACACTGAATAAACTAAGAATGAAAAATACAATACGGAGATGTGAACCAACGTATGCGTGCGCGCGCGCGCGCGCGCGTGTGTGTGTGTGTATGTGTGTCTTTCTCTCGATCTATGGACAGACGCGGCTGTCATATGTTACATGAACATTTCACATTGAACCGACGGAACATTCTTCCCACGTTGCGAGTAACCGAGCAAAATTGATATGTGTTGTGGAAGTGAGAATCTTCAAGAGTTTTTGAGCAGGTTCTCTTCGGTCGACAATAGGTGTAACAGGGTTACGCTGCGTATAAAGGTGGACCGTGACTTCGCCTAGATGCACCTCGAGTACTCTTCGTAGCCTCCACTGAGCACAGGGGATGTTTTTGTCGATGACGAGGACGATTGTGCCCGGTTTGAGGTCATCATCTCCCGTGAGCCATTTTTGCCGCTTTTGTAGCTCTGTGAGGTACTCAACTTGCCATCTCTTCCAGAAATGTTGTTGGGCCTTGGAAATAAATTGCCAGATGCATAGGCGATTGTCTGGAACATAAAGCAAATTAAATTCCGGCAGCATCGTCATAGGGTGACTGACTAGAAAATGCGCTGATATTAGTGCGCTTGGGTCATTTGGATTGCTGGAAAGGGAGCATAATGGTCTTGAATTGAAAAGAGCCTTAATTTCAATAGTAAAAGTATTTAATTCTTCGAATGTGAGCAATTGATCCCCGACAACGTGTTTGAAGTGGTGTTTGAATGATTTTACGGCTGCTTCCCAAATACCGCCAAAATGGAGAGCCAGAGGGGGTATGGAATGCCAGGTTATGCCCTTATGTAAAGTGAAGTGCTTCACGCTGTTTCGAAACTGCTCAGACTGCAAAAGCGCATATAACTCGCGAAGTTGGTTGTTCGCGCCGATAAAATTCGACCCGATGTTGGAATAAATGTTAGATGGCCGGGCTCGTCAACCGATAAATCGTCGCAGTGCACCCAAAAACCCGTTGGTTATCAGATCGCTTACGATTTCTATATGCACTGCCTTTGTAGCCATAGAAATAAAAACACACCCGTATGCTTTAACTCGCGCACGATTTCTATGTTTCTTTTCTTTAATAAATAATAAACCGAAAAAATCAACCCCAACATGCTCGAATGGGAAAGCTTCGGTGACGCGTACTTTAGGCAAATCTTCCATTTTCATTTGAAGAGGGGTTGGTTTGTACCGTACGCATGGAATGCAGCCACAAATGATTTCCCGAACTTGGTTTTTTCCGTCCAAGAGCCAATATCGTTGCCGAATAGCAGAAAGCGTGCTTTGAACTCCAGCGTGGTAAGCGTTTATATGCATCTCACGAATTAGAAGGTTGGTCGCGTGATAGCGAGAAGGTAAAAGTATCGGGAATTTGCGGTCTGAACCTATTGGCGCTTTAGTTAATCGACCCCCAACGCGAAGTAATCCATCTCCGTTAACAAAGGGAATGAGCTCTGCTAGTCGAGTTTTCTTGGCTCCTCTTGCGCTTGTTATGAGGTTGATTTCGGATTAATATTGTTCAGATTGAATGAGCCCAAGAACTATTTTTTCCGTCGCGATTCTTTTTCTTGGACTAATATTTTTACCGGTATAAGTATTTGATTTGAGTAGCCGTACACAACATGAAATAGAATTAATTAGAGTCAAATATGACGAAAATCGAAAAAAAACGTTTGAAGTTGAGTGATTTAATACAAGACACGTAATTTTTCTTAAGCCAGGTAATCGTGAGACAGCGGAGACCACGTTCGCTGACCATGAATTTTCTGATGAACGAAGCCACGACGGCACTTCAAACCACTGTCCGTTTCGAAGAAACTCGCCAGGGAGATGACCACGTGACAAAGCATCGGCTGGATTGTCAGCTGTTCTCACGTGTTGCCATTATATCTTATCTCCAAATGCCTGTATTTCAGCGACGAGATTGCCTTCGAATGGTTTGAGAGCTTGGGCTGGTTTTTTAAGCCAATGAAGCACGATGGTAGAATCGGACCAGAATACAATTCTATCAACAGATTGATTTATTGAGGGACTCATTTCCTTATACAAACGGGCGAGGATCTATGCCCCACACAGCTCAAGCCGGGGAATTATGGCTTCCTTGATAGGAGCAACTTGAGATTTGGCACACGCTAGACAAATTAGTACGCGTCCGTGGCTATCGCCCGTGCGAATGTAAATACAAGCACCATACCCCGTTTTACTCGCGTCGCAAAAACCATCAATCTCCGTGCGCGTTGAATTGTCAATAATAAGTCCACGTGGTATGCATAAACTAGAAATTGAAGAAAGTTGTTTCGCGAAAACTCCCCATCGTGAATTCAACTCTTGTGGTAAAGACTCGTCCCAATTTAACTTTAAGTTCCAACACTCCTGAATCATCGTCTTGGCATACAAAATTATGGGCCCGAGAAGTCCCAACAGATCAAATATAGCAGCGATTTTTAATAAAATGGAACGCTTTGTGTGTTTTCCGACCGAATCACCGATATGGACTGAATATTAAATTTTGTCGTCGTGCGAGTTCCAAGCGATTCCCAATGTTTTTAGAACGTTATTCGTCTTTATCACGCAATCTAAATTGATTATTAGCTCCTCAAGATTTTTTTAACGCGTTGTGATGGTTTGAAGCCCAACGACGGATATCAAACCCTCCCCTCCGCAAAAGAGAAGTTACCTCATTGCGAATTTCGAGCACTTGTTTGATCGTATCGGCACCAGTTAAAAGATCGTCAACGTACAAATCGTTTTTGAGTACTTGAGCAGCTCACGGAAAGTGTGCGCCATCGTCATCAGCGAGTTGCTGAACTGTGCGCATAGCAAGATGAGGAGCAGAAGACACGCCGAAAGTAACCGTATTAAGCTCGAAAGTTCTCACTTCGCCTTGGTGATACCACACAATACGTTGAAACCGTCAGTGATCGGGGTGAACGAGTATTTTTCGGTACATCTGTGCGATGTCGGCCGTGATGACATATCGATAGGTGCGGAAGCGCAAAAGATGATCAAACATTTTGGACTGGATTGTAGGACCAACCATTAAAACGTCATTTAAGGAGAAGCCCTTACTGGCCTTAGCAGATGCATTGAAGACGACGCGCACCTTCGTGGTGCTGCTTGACTTTTTTATCATCATGTGATGAGGCATGTAATAGCCACTCGAAAACTCATCACGCACCAATGACATGTGACCTAACTCAATATACTCTTTTATTACCCTTTCGTATGCTACCTCAACTTCGGGATTAGAATCAAGACGAGTTTGTAACGCGTTGAGGCGTCGGAGAGCTTGAGGCCTTGAATCGCTGAAATTCTCATTTTGTCGTTTCAACGGTAATTTGACAATGTAACGGCCGTCTTTATTGCACGCAGTGTAATCAACGTAATGATCCTCGCACCGTGTCTCTTCGATTGATTTTGATGACATTGATCAAATGTCCTCGATAACCCAAAATTTTTCCATTTAACGCGTGAGTTCGATCAAATTACAAGAAACCGCTGAGTCCACGCTTATTTGTCTTACATCCAGCTCCAAACAGAACATCTACAGATCGCTGCAGATGAAATAGTGGATCGGCTAAGTGTATGTTGGAGGGAATTTTAATCAAGTCGTGAGGAAAAACTTCGTCCGGAACCAGTTCGGCGATTTTAGGTATGACCAAGAAATTCGAAGTTTTATTGAAAGTCTTATCTGTTGAGCAAAAATAAATTTCGACTTGACGCTTAGACAGAGTGCGCAGCTCATTTATGGTGCCTACAGGTACGTTGCACGGACGCGTTGGCGAATTTAGGAGTCGCGCGCAACTAGATATTATAAAATTCGCGGTTGCACAAGTTTCAAGAAGCACGCGTGTTTGAATAAATTTTCCATCAACGTTTCTCATTAGAGTCATTTCGCTCATCATCAGCTAAGCCCGCAGCGTGTGAGAAACTAAACTGGAGCACTTCATACCTAGTCACGCAGAATTTGTAATGTTGGACGACTCAGGCTTAGGAGTCTGCTTGGGATTTGCGTTGCGGGTCAGGTGCGAGTGCAAAAGCGTGTTTTGATACCATTTGCACTCCTTGCAATGGGAAAGCGTACAATTGGCAGTGTGCGGGCGAAGACAGTTCCAGCACAACCCTCTGTCCTTGACTGCGTTCCACCGCTGTGAAACGGTCAGTTTCAGAAAGTCGCAGCACTTAAAAATCGGATGGTTTGCGTTGCAATAGAAGCAGGCAGCTGGTGTTGCCGTGACAAGAGAGCGCGCTCCCAATTCGGTTTTGCAAGCCTTCGAGGCTGCCGAGGTACTGTCCACCGTACGCTTGTTAAACCCGCCTCTTTGACGGGACGCTTTATTCGACAGGGTACTCAATCTAAACGCGGCGTCACTCACAAACTTACAAAATCTTTCAAAGGTCGGATACGTATTAAAATCGAGGGATTCCTCTCATTTAGACCGTACTACTGCCGACAGCTTTCTCTTGAGCAATCAAACCACGAAGCCGTTCTCTAAGGTTGCCTTCAGCGGTTTTAACATGTTAAGGTGCTGACGACCATCGCCCACGATTTTCATCAAGCCCTCGGAGGTCACGTGCGTGATCGCTGGAATATCGATGATTCCGTCGAAATGTTCATACGCGGCTTTTCGTATTCACTAACGATCATTGCCAACGCTGTTTTGTAATTTTTATTGCTAGTGTCGTAAAGTGAGAGCTTGTTAAACGCCAGGCCATCTAAGCAGTCCCTCAAATATAAGAACTTATTTCAATCGTCGATGTCAGTACGTGAATCTATCATCGACAAAAAGGAGTATTTAAACAAAAGCCATTTATCGTGATCACCGTTAAACTGAGCAAGATTTTCAACCAGTAGCTTAAAAGAGCGTTTTTTTTTTATGATTGTTAAATGCTTAAGAGGATTGCCAAGGCTTGCGTTGTGACTACCCGTGGGGGCAGGCGTACTCCTGATACGGACCGCGAGCTCCATGTAGCTGTCTTCTAAGCCCGCCATATGCTCCAACTTAGCGTGTTCAGCATCAATCGCCGCAAGCTCATCGTTGAGGGACTTGTCTTCATTAAACGCGTTCGTAAGGCGCTCGGTACATTATACGCATAAATAAGAAGCAAAAAGTCATTCGCCACGGCTAACACATCCATGTGTATAAGAAATAATAGCTCCATTACTTGGCAAGGTATTGCGTCGAGTAAGCCAACGTTGGTCGCAGCTAAACGGGATACGCAATCCGCTTTTCTCAAAAAAATTTTTTCTCCAACAACTCGACTCGCCCGCCCTTGAAAAGAACAAAAAAAAAAAAAAAAAAAA